GAGTGGCCACTGCACTCCAGTCTGGGCGACCCAGTGAGACTCCAACTCAAAAAAAAAAAACACTACAAATCCCTAAAATTCAGAATCATTAGTTGAAAATCAGATAGAAGGGAACTTTTAAAATCTGATAAAAGCTGTCTATAAAAAAAATCAAAACAGGCCAGGCTCGGTGGCTCAGCCCATAAATCCCAGCACTTGCTTGAGTCCAAGGGTTCCAGATCAGCCTGGGCAACTTGGCAAGACCCCATCTCTACAATAAATAGAAAAATTAGTCGGGTGTGGTAGCACATGCCTGTACTTCCAGCTACTTGGAAGGTTGAGGTGGAAGGATCACTGAAGCCCAGCAGGTCGACGTTGGGATGGCTGTGAGGGTGCCACTGCACTTCAGCCTGGGCAACAGAGTGAGACTCCAACTCAAAAGAAAAATCAAAAAAGTTTCATTCATGTTACTGTGAATGAGAGGATTTCATTATTTTTTATGGTTGAATAGTATTCCATTGTGTACGCGCGTGTGTGTGGGTGTGCGTGTGTAAGTGTACTACCAAAAATGTATGAGCACTTTAAATATGACGTTTGCTTGAAAGATGGTGTTAAATCAAATGAATTCTAGCATCACCATGCAACAGGTGGGACAGCCAAAGAAAATAGCAGAAGTACAGCTGAGCAAACATCATACTATACATTGTGACCATAACTGAATTCAATTCTAAAAGTAATGCATAGATAACATCACTTAAAATGTGTATACATTTTTTAGTACCCCCATACATATATACACTTACTTTCCTTATCTATTCATCAGTTGAAAGGGCTTTTATGTTTCTTCTATATCTTGGCTATTGTAAATAGTGCTACATAAACATGGGGGTGAAATATCTCTTTGACATACTGATTTCATTTCCTTTAGGTAAATATACAGTAGAAAGATGCTGGATCATATGGTAGCTCTATTTTTAGTTTTTTGAAGCCCCTCCATACTGTTTTCCATAATGACTGTAACTAATTCACATTCCTACCAACAGTGTATAAGAATTTTATTTTCTCTGCCTCATTACCATTTGTTATTTTTTGTCTTTTTAATAATAGCCATTCTAATTGGGGTGAGATATTTCATTGTGGTTTTGATTTGCATTTTCCTGATGATTAGTGATATTGAGCCTTTTTTTACATATACTTGTTAGAAATTTAAGCTCTAAAGCAAACATCAAAATTAATGGTTAAATGTTGAAAACAATACTTTGAAATTAGGAACAAGATAAAAATGGTTTTCATTTAACATCGTATTTCAGGTCTACCAGTACAGTGAAGGAAAGAAAATAAAAAGAAACAAAGGTGGAGGGTCGGGAAGATGGCGGCCAAACCAGTGGGACTATGAGCATTCCCATGTGAGTGAGTGTATGGAAAATTTTGTGCTTGTGCTGGTGAGTGAGTGGGCGTGTGAGTAGCTGACTGAGTGAGAGCTAGGGAGTAGCGGCCAGGGTTCTCCGGTGCAGCGGCTGGTGTCAAAGCTGCTGGGCTTGGACCCTAGCTATTGCAGGGACACAGAAGCTGAGAGCCATTCTCTCTTTTTTTTTTTTAAATCAACAAATTCTCCCTGGGAAGAAAATGCTGGGAGAGACTATCTAAGTCGGGGCTCGTGAGCAAGCGGCCAGACCCCTGATGCAACAGCTGGTGCTGCAGCTTCTCTGCTTTGTTCCTGGCTCTTTCCAGGTCGCAGAGGCTGAGCGCCATTATTTTTTCTTGAAACGGACAAAAGTTTTTCTGCGAAAAAGCGGCAGGGAGAAACCATCGCCCCAGGCTCTCCCTCACCATTGCAGCAGGAGAGACTGCTGGCTCCTGGCTTTGTCTCACCACTTCAGCGCCTGGCAGAGCACTGGCAGCAGGGGCTGTGGAGGGAGTCCAGAGGCAAAGGCCCAAGGAAGAGGACAAGTGAGGCACCCCACCACCATCTTAAAGGTGGGCCAGGAAAGTGCTCTAGCTTGCTAAACATGGAGCAACAGACCAGATCTCTGTGACTGGTGGATCAACTACTTAGGGATTAATCATGACCCAGAGGGAATTGCGAAAGGGGGCTTAAAAAACATTTATAATGTCAAAAATTAAACTAAACATGTACTCAGCCTTTGCACAGTTAAAAAAAAAGTTCCCTTCCTGGAAACTGGCAACAGCACTTGCTGGCTAGGTTAAACTGTTTAACAGCTTTTTTCTCGCTTCAGTAAACCACACTTGCATGGCTTAAAAGGTACCTAGGCCTCCAGGATGTTGCGGTTTAGCCCACTTGAAAAGCCCCAATGTGGTTTAGCCTTACTTAAGCAAGCCCCTACAGCTAACAAAACCCCTTGGTGTGGGACTGTCATGTCCAACAGGCAAATGGCTGCCAACCCGGCTCTTGACTAAATAAAACTTCTCCTTTTTATACCTTGTACTTTTGGTGTTGGTGTCTGTAAATTAAGCACTCGGTCCCTATTTCATTTGGGGGCTTGTCCGGGATATCCAAGAGTTAATCCTCAGCCCCAAACACAGCTGACTTTGTGGGTCTGCATACCCATGAACCTCAGTGTTTGTCAGGCCTGGTGAGTCTGTGGACTCACAAACAGCTGACTGTCATCTCTGGCAGACTTACAATGTCCCCAGAGCCCTCTGAGAGGTGAATCAAGTTCCTGTTTTGTTTGTGTGCACTTCTGGTTGGACCTGCAGGAAAGCTGGACACAGCACTAATTCCTGGGTCTGAGGTCCCAGTGAGATGTCACTGGGCCCTACAGTATTGCCCTCGGGCAGTTAGGTCTGTCTGTTCAGTTTGTGTTATTGTCTTTATTTGTTCAGTGTTAGTCACTATTGTGTCTGTCATTGTTATCGATATTATGGGGCAGCAGTGCTCTAAGCCTGACACCCCTCTGCAACTGGTTTTGTGCCACTTCAAGGATTTCCAAGAAGCGGCACAACAGTCAGGTTATCAGGTAAACCAAGGAAACCTAACCACCTTTTGTTCCCTCGAATGGTTCACATTTCCTAATTGCAGTTGGCTGCCGGAGGGGACCTTCAACCCTGCCATATGGGGAAGGTCCAACAGTTCCTCTATCGATACCACCCGGACCAGATCCTGGACATCACTGCCTGGTACCTCCTGGTAATGCAGCAGCCATCATGGATGAAGAAAGTCAAAAAGAAAGCTAATTCTTCTCATGTTTTAAACCTACAGGAGACTCCAAAAGCCAAACCTCCAGCCCTCCAGAGCCCACCGGAGGATGATGAAATTCCCCCGCCCTACTCTACATCTGAGTGGGAGCAGGGAGCCCACAAGGTTCTCAGCCTATCACTCGCCAGGAGTGGGTCCTCGTATGAGCCCCTTTATCCCCCTCTCCCCTATGCATTTCTCAAGGGCCCAATCACCCCCAATAAACCGACTAGCCCTGACTAATCTTCAGGGAACTCAGAACCACAAACTTCCACAGTCCTTCCCCTGAGACAGGCCCCAGGACTAGATATAGGAGGCTCAGGAGGCCAGCCCTTTATGTTTATGTCCCTTTCTCTACTAGTGAACTTTACAACTGGAAACATCAAAATACGGTGTTTTCCAGAAAACCTCAGAGCCTCATAGGCCTTCGAGAAACTATTTTCTTCACCCACCAGCCACTTGGGATAACTGCCAACAGCTCCTCCAAGCCCTTTTTACTGCAGACGAAAGAGAATAAATTCGTCAGGAGGCAAGGAAATTGGTCCTGGGACTGGACGGCAGACTAGCAGAGCAGGACCGTGTGGATCGTGTCTTCCCCGCTGAGAGGCCTAATTGGAACCCAAACACCAATCATGATAGGAAGTGTCTCACCACCTACCACCGGACTCTAGTGGGGGGTCTCCGGGCCGCCACCAGGCGGCCCACAAATTTGTCTAAGGTAAGTGAGGTAACTCAGGGCCCACAGAAGTCTCCCACGGCTTTTCTGGAACACCTAATGAAGGCCTATCAGATGTATACTCCCATAGACCCAGAGGATTCAGATAATTAGAGGGCTTTAGTTACAGCCTTTGTCTCCCAGTCAGTCCCTGAAATAAGAAAGAAATTGGCCAGGCTCCGTGGCTCAGTCTGTAATCCCAGCACTTTGGGAGGCCGAGGTGAGTGGATTGCCTGAGCTTGCGGGTTCAAGACCCACCTGGGCAACTTGGCGAGACCTCATCTCTACAA